GTGGGTGCACTGCTCTAAGCTGGGCAGGAGCACGACCAAAGCAGGGCTAACTGCCCCCTCTGAAATCTTGAGGAGGACAAACACCTTTCTTGGGGTTACTGTCCTCTAGGGACTGCACTCACTTGTGGAAATACAAGTCCTGGGAAGATCCAAGTAAAGAAATTAAGAGGATGCTCTGAATTTGCATTTTAAACGTTTTTCCCATGTGATACTATAGAAATACAATGGAAGTAAAATTGGCAAACACTATCCATATGCTGCGCTCCAAAATGACTGGCAGAGCACGATGAGAACATTACTGCTGGACTGAATCAGAGAATGCATTAGAAAATGTGTGAGTAGGATACTGATATATATAAACTCGATCTTCCCTGATGGAATTAAAAAAAGTATACCTGTAATTATGGCTCACCCCTATTGCCATCAGACCAGCCACAGAGCTGAACAGGCCAGCTTTGTACCTGAGTTCAAAGCCAGGATGATGTTGCCTTATTTTCCTACTAAAATCATCTTTATCCTCTCTTGCCCTTCTTCTCAGTTAACAAGAGTTATGTACTGAAAGTGCTGAGATAAAGTAATGGTAAGGAGGATACCGCAAAAGGTATTTGAAAAGCAGAAGTAATTTACTACATGTCTGCTTTGTTTTACTTCCTAAGCCTTCCTGTTGTGAGAGGAAATTCATCTTTTCTGGCAGACTCCAGCCTTTCTAGGCCTGAGAGCTCCCCAGGAGCTTTCGAGTGCAGGTAAATGGATGTGAGACTCAAGGAGTACAGTGCAAGAACACAGAATTAATGTCGATTTTTGCTTTGGTTGTCACATCTGACGTATAAGGAGAGTGCTGTATCCTTGCTTGCAGGAAGTATCTAGATGTAAAAAACACAAGGCTGAGCCCTCTGCTCGTTACTGCGGGTTTGAAATGCCAAGAATGGAAAGGTCATATTGCTGGTGGGTGAAGCAGATAGGACCTATGCCCATCAAGGTCTCCGTGTGAGACAGATGTCGGGGTGCTGGGAGCCCCCGGGGACCTTCTGAAGAAAGAGCTCCGAGGAAGGACTGTGGCTGGACAATAGGTGCAGCATGGATTCTGCACGCAGCAGAGACCCCAAGAGTAGGCACAGGGGAAGCATCCACTGCCTAATCTAAATAGCACACAGAGTGGTTTTGTCCTCTTCTGTTCTCCTGCCAGTTTGCACATATGTTCTGAGTATACAGCCTGCCCTCCAAAGACCACTTACAGGGGCAATCACAGGGAAGCAAAGCAGGAAGAAAGTATCCAAAAAGGGAATTTGTTCAAGAGAAAAAAATGGAGACAGATGTAGAGTGACTAGTCACGGCTGGCGGTAAATAACCCTCTGCCTGGAGTGCTCTCTATGAGGAGTTCACATGTTCCATTTCATATTTCCTTTCTAGGAAGTCAAATCTTTATTTTCCTGGCATTTGTTCCTTTTTTCTTTCCCTATATATTTTTCCCCTCTGTATGGTCTGAAATTGTTTTCTTCTTTTCCATTTCTTTTCTGCGCCGTGTTCTCTTTTAAGCGTGGCATTTCTCCAACCACCATGTGGGCCTCATTTCCCTGCACTGTCCCAGGCGATACCTTTTGCTGTACCCCTCTGTGCCATGAGCTCTGCCCTCTCCCTCTGTGCAGGCACAGTCATACAGAGCGCTCCACATTTGCTCCTGCATAATACTCCCCGCTTTTTCTCATGTGCACACCTCAGAATTAAGCAAATGCAACACACACAGACAGAATATTCATCCTCTCACTCCCATAAACCTGTCAAGGCGTATAGGCCAAGGAGCTATCTCTGCCTAAATCTAAATCCCCTGTGAGGAAGCAGTCTACTCAAAGGTAATAAAGCCAAAGGATATATTATTATCTTTGGTGTGAATCCTACTGGGCTGGGAGGTTGGCTGCTGGTTCCTCTCTCTGAACTTTCCCTCCCAGCCAGAACAGCCATCCCACAGACAAGTCTAAGCTTCCTTTCCTTGGTCTGATTTCCTCCTCCCGTTGTTTGGCTGGTAACCCAAAGGACAGGGTTTAATTATGGAGCTTGGAAACCTGGCTTACACTGCTCTGCCAGCACAGGACAAAACGTCAGCCTGCCTTCATAACCAGCATCGCTGTGCACCATTGATACATGCCTTATCCCACACAGCGTAAAGAGAACCGCACGGAAGAGAAGCCAAAGGAAACAAAAAGCTGGTTTTAGTTTTTAGACTTTCGAGAATTTCACTGAGAAAAAGCAAAACACAGAAGTTCAGCGATTACTGTACGTTCAAACAGCCATGGCTTTTGATTGCAGGTTAAATAAATGGCAAGGCCTTTCTCTGGACAAGAGAGGTGTTGGAAAGGACAGATCTGAAACAGAGCAGGGGTTCCACCCCTTCTGGAAGGGAACACTGTGGCAGGACACCAGGTAACACATAAATGCTAACATCATTTGCGTGGCTTTCAGACGACCAATACATTTTCTAGGCAGATGCCCCATTGAAGACTCTTGAAATGTTGTATATTTATGGAGACACAGCAACCATGTCAAACACAGAGGCCAGATGTCACTCTCAGGCCCAGGTGTGGTTAATGAGGTACGGCACGGAGCTGTGTGCTGCACCAGGGCAGGATGTGTCCCTCTGTTACTGCGGGGGGAGCATCTTGTACCAGGTACACACTACTGATGCCCTGCAATGAAAGGACACTCCAGTACCATCTTGTCCTTCACCACTGATGAGCTGGGGCCTTCTGGGCAGGCTCTGCCCGGCATGCTCTCATAGGTGATCCTGTTTTACAGAGAAGCCGAGGCAGTGAACTCAGAGAGGCTGCTGGAAAGCCATGGCAGAAGTCTCAGGGTGTGGCTGTGGCTGTAGCACAAAGATTTAAACTGCATCCCATGCAGGCAGGATAAAGCTCTTTTTCTTCTCAGCCGTGACAGAGATAGATAGCTTGATGAATCTGAGCTATATCTAGTCGGTACCTGGCTCCTTGTGTTGCAAGGTGATTTTCTGCCATTTTACAGGCAAGCCTAGTCAGAACCTGGGGCTTTTCTGTGGTGAGAAAAGTCATGAGGAAGGCAGTGCCTTCTCTGCCTTGTTCTTGCCTCTCTGAGAACCTCAGGACATGGGCAGTTGTGCTCCTCTTTGATAAGCACCCAGTGGGTAAAGAGTAGTGGTGCTGCTTCAACCCCCGACCCCACACATGTGTGTAAGGCTTTAGGTTCCCTTCTTGCCCAGCTCAGCACTGCAGTGCCACTATCTAGGCTGGACTTGGATGAGACCAAGATGATGATCACATGCGGGGAAAACCACCAGAAGTGACAGCAAAATTAATAGCCAACCTCTGGCTGTTGTACAAATGAAGAGTGTTTGCCATTAATAAAGAGGACCCCAAACTTTGGGGGGAGCTAGCCTTCAGTCTGACAATGATGTGGAAGCAGTGAACCAGTCAGCATTTAGCCATCTGTGTCTGTGGAGGAGGTTGCGATCTCTCCTTTCGATGGGCACTGAGCTTTTCTTCGTGTTTTTGCCGCTCCATGAGCAGAGTAGTTCAGTACAAGATGAAGCTCTGCCTTACATCATCTGGAGGCTGGAGCTGATGGAGGAAACAGCCCTTAGCATCCAAGGAGCAGGGCACCTCACTGAAAACACCAGAGCCTCAGGGACCGCGGCAGCATGGCAGTCACAGGGAGCCTGGCACTTGTCTGCCTGCAGGTCCACCCTCTGCTCCTGCCAAAGTGCCACATCTGCAGTCAATAAGGGCCCACAAGCTGGCTCCTCCTCATTAGAGGAGAGAGGGCAGCTGGCAGGGGATCCTCCAAGGGCTCTCAGGCACGGGAATCAGTCCCCTCCCAGTCTGGAATAGCCCAAATTTGGTGACTTTCTGGGCATGCAGTAAAGGACAGCTGTTTGACAGGGTCTCCAGAGAAAGCTGTGGGTATGTTTCCTACATGATGAAGGATATAGGTGGCTGGCCAAGTGCCCACAGACCTGATTTTAATGCTGTTCAGGTTGAATTTACTTTTCTGTGCTGTATAGTTCATTATACACAGTGTCCTGGACAAGTATGTGTTGTTTTAAAACAAAACCATACCAATTTAAATCCAAACAAACAAGAAAGAGAAAAACCTGTGTGTTGCAAAAGACTCTTTGGGTTGCTTAGAGGGCCTTCTCAATGCTGGAAGGCTTCTCAAACACTGTGCGACGAAAGCACTGCCTGTGTTTATCTAACAAATAAGACTTCTGTTATTTTTATTGGCAATAAATATTTGAATATTGAGCTGTAACCAAAAAAGAGACATCAGCTTCACCGTGTATGGAGCACTGACCCAGAAAAAGATTTGCAATAGTATTAAGCACCCAGATGATCTCAGGAGAAGTGACCAACAGACAGTTGAGTACGCAGCATAACCCAAAAGATGATCAGCAAGAAAGATCACACACAAAAACTCACTGAGAAAATGCAGAAGAGCTGCTTCCTAAAGCTGATGGAGTTTAATACCAACTGATAGTCATTTCAATATGAAGCCTCCAACCACATTTCACGGTGTTACAGATGAGATTGTAAATCTCTGAAAAGTCATTACTAAGTGACCTCAAGTGTTGTACAATGCTCGAGAAGTCCTTCTACCTTACATGAGTTTGGGGATATTTACTTAAACAGGATAACTGTGGGGCACACCCCAGACAGGTACTGCTTTTTTTGCTAAACGAACATCACTGCTATCCCAGAACTGAATCTGGACATTTTGGCAGACAAAGACAGCGTATCTTTTGCTACATTATTTAAATACTTAAGATATTTGGCAAAAATACAGAAGTGACACAGTACAGAAACATTCGCAGCTGCAGGAGCAATAAAACCACTACAGCATTTTCGTTAGGCTGACCTTTTCTCACAAGAAGTTACAAGATTTTGATAATAGATCACCTTCTATACAGCATTCAGTGTATTCTGATAATAAAACTGAGCAATACTTTTCTCGGGCTCCTGAAAGCCGTGGCTTACCTGGCTCCACTTCATGCCATCCACTTGACTGGCTGCCACTTCCTGGAGAGCGCCCTTGGCTTGTATAGAACGGCTCCTCACCAGGACTGTCCATCTCATCCTCCACAGATTTGATACGTTTTGTAGAGCTGAAAAAGTAAAAATGCATAATAAATACTATGCATGTGGGAAGGAACAAAGGTGCTTCTTTTGGGACTTGCTAGCACTGCTTGAGCCTAAGCTGCTTTGGGAAAGACAGCAAACTGAGGACCCTGAGAAGGGGGAGGTATGAGTCCTGCACAGCCACCCAGCCTCCAACCATCCACTTTTTGTTTCTGATTTACTTTATTTTCAGTGGCTATGCTTCAATGTGAGACAAACAACCTCTCATGGGGTTAAACTGAGCCCCTAAACCTGTGCTAAATTAACAGCTTAAGAGACGGTTTACCATCTAGGCTATTATAGGTCAAAAAGTAGGACATTCTTCAAAGAACACAGAGGTCAGTAAAAGAATTTAATTTCTATTGCATTATTTTTGCAATTGGAATGAATATGTTAGTGACATGCAAGTCATTTTAATTGTCAGATTTTCTGAACAGCTTATTCTGAAACACACATTACAGGTCCCTCCAAACTTATATTTTCAATTTTTTAACTGTAGCTGTTTAATTAACCCAGATTTCGGTCCCCTAAGAAGTGTAGATGAGTAAAAGATGGACGAATCCATTAGTGATTCATGTGCTCACATTATCATACAAGCGTAAGCATTTTTCTCCCTAAGTGTTTGCCACCAAGCATAAAAAGCCCCAGTAGGTAATTCTGACCAGTACTGACCTTTGTCAGACATCACACCTCCCTTCCCCTTGGCTCAGGGGACAGAAGAGCCCTTTCAGTGGTTTCTGGTGGTCGCTGACTCAGACTCAGCAGTTTGGTGGGGAGAGGATCCCAAAGCCAAAGACACTGAGGTTGGCTCTATTTGCTGTAATGACTTGTACAGACTGCGTGGGGACATTACTGAGAATTTCTCTTTTAAGTGCTTTTCCAAGGCTGTGTCAGCTCACTTTTTACCCCGAATCTGTATTCCATTAAGATTTAAAGCATTCAAGAACAGGCTCCCTTCTATAGAGGGAACATATTTAAAAGGCATAAAATCTTCCTATTTCTACTGGTCTAAAACATGCAGCCTCTGCACAGCTCTTCACCCCAAGCTCTGCACAGGTACGAGAAAGCAGTTTGTGAGTAACAGGAAGGAGGATTCTTGTGGTATGCACGGAATGTAGGTTTGGCCATTCCTTAATGTAGAGAATTGTTATGTGTCAATAGGGGAAACTGTGTGCGTACAATATAATTACCGCCTGATAATTCCTCTGAGTCTGTGTATTTAAGAAATACATTTTTTTTCTTACTGGGAACAGCCTAATGAGAGGAAAACAAACATATTACAAAGTTATTAACTACCCATGCTGTTTATAATTAGGTCCTTATCACTGCTAGCTATTTGCAGAAGAACAGAAGAGCAAGAACGGAGCTCTCAAGTAACGCTAATAACCCCACATCTTTGTTTGGGAGTCACAATCAAACTCTACCTGAGAACCTATGATGTGCAGGTGATGAGCACTGAACATAGGGTGGGTGCAGAGTTTAGATGCAAAGAAGAAAGAGAATTAAGTTTTTAACTGATGTGTAATGGAAATTGTAGTCGCCAAGCTTCCTAATGTACACTAAGTGCAAGATGGAAAATATTCTTGCCATTGCTTCCATCTCTAAGAAACTACAGCTAAGAGCATCCCTCCAAAGCTTTTCTTTTTAGAAAACAAAAACAACAGCTATATTCAAACTATAGAGCCTTTCTACATGTGTACTTGCTTACTGCAAAGCTGGTGGCACTGCAGACTGAGATAAAAATGTAAAACAACCCTGGGCTGGAGTTAGACTTTCTTGTCATGTCTTTGAAATAAGTGATCTGTTTTGGCTGTGGGGGAAAAAAAATCAATCTGGTTCTTTAATAGTGTTCAAGACTACTAGAGTGACTGAGCTTGTTTATAAATCTAATCTCATGGATGGTTAAAGTAAAAGGATAGGGTAAAAAATAAAAAATATCCTTGTCTGGTAGGTGGCATCTAAGCCAAAACCCCAGTGAGACTCGGCAGTCATCGGCATTAACAATTCACAGTTTTCAAATAATTGAGCCACAAGTTTCTAAATGCAATTTGAAAACCTGAACACATTATAGAGTAAGGCCCTAAACCTATGTTGGTTTCAGAGATAACACTTTAAGATCAAGGGTGCACAAAAGTCTATCTTAAGGCTATCCAGCCAGGACAAAGTGACAGGTCTCAATATGCTCCCAATTCTCTTCTGCCACCAGTAAAACTTCAACAGTTCCAGTAGAACTGCTCCTGATACACCAACACAGGAGGCAGAGGTTACACAGGGCAATGCAACTGATTTCCTTCACAGACTGTATACACAAAAAGAATTTTAGCAGCAATCCAGTTGAACGTTCAGCTCTGTGAATCTGAAGCAGCTTCCCATCCTGAGGCCCCCAAACAACTTGTCAAATAATTAATGGTTACTTTTCCAGATGAGTAATGACGTTTGCTTGGGTTTCCAAGTAACTCGGCAGTAGGCAGAGATTAAATTACCTGGTAGAGGATGTGCTAGGTAAAGACCTCCTCATTGCTCCTGGGCTCATGCTGTAGTATGAAGAACTTTCCAAATCTGAGAGGGAGAAATTAGGGCCTGTTCCTGCAGCTATTGGTGCTGGGAAAACAAAAGAGAGCACAGTCAGTAACTCAAGTGAATATGGCATGAATTGCACTTCAAAATCATTTTCTTCTTACTCGTGTGTGTGTTTATTTTCACAATGAGAACAGGTGGGATGTGGAAATTAAGAAATGCTAATGGAAACTGGCATTGCAATCAAGAAAATGTAAATTTTATCCAGAATACAATGTTCCATGGCACAGACTCTTTCTTACACTCCTCCAGTGATACCCTTTCTTTAAAAAAAACCCAAACAATTATGACGGCACTTCTATTCAGCTTCTTTAAGCACTACTTCTCTATTAATATAATTCTAACATTTAATGAAACTCGTTGCTTTTGTTTTAGGACAATGGTGCATGTATTAGTACAGTTACAAATAGGCTGCATCATCCCTGTAGTGTACTTGTCATAATCTGTAAGCCGTACAGGCAGGGAAATACACACCTCAGGACCTCTGGTGTGTACATGATGCACATCCCCAAGCACAGAGGTTACAAATCTCCCCGGAGAAAGCACAAATGCAGAGGAGAAACCCAAGTCCTCTTCCGAATGTGAGCAGCTGAGTTTTGCTCTGGTCTCTCCTTCAGCAAAATCAAAGCTAGAGACATTTGTCTCAAAAGAAACATTATCTGGTGACTACCTTCCACCGTTCACCTCTCACTAAACTACCCAGCACCTAAGTTTTATTGTAAGGGATATGAATGCCTTTCATTTCCACGTCCTAGAGCCTTGGTTTTCCATTAAAATATTACGAGCTCCTACATACTGTAATGTTTTCAAGCATGAGCCTATGAACCCCACGTGCCACAATCTTCTGGGAACAGAGGAGTCTAATGTTCAAGCCAATGGATAATGCATTTCACAAAAAAATGCAACTATATGACACGTGGTCCCATAGCCTCCGTTGCTGTCCTATCGCTATTTGCAGGACAAAGCAACTTGGGAAGCTGACAATTACAGATCACGATTTTCTCTCACATTTCAGAGACATCGGAAAAAGGACATACCGCACAATAAAAAGCACAAGTTTGGCCTGGAACGTATTGTCTGAGAGCCCCGATTCACAGCAACAAAGGCGAAGCAGTCTCAATGCCACACAAAGATGCTGAGCCAAGTTTAATCTTTGGTCTGAGAACCTGGCCCATTTTCAAAGGCGAAAAAATCTTTCACTCCGACGGGGCAGGAGTGAGGAAATGAAGACAGGATAGCTCGTATCGCCCAGCAAACATGTCTGGGCTGAGACGCAGGCCTTCTGGGAGTGCTGCCATTGACTGTAATGGGGCCAGTATTTCACCCCAAGACTTAAGGAGCTCACAATGTCAGATTTGACAGAGGAATAATGTAGCTTTGCAGCTGCCTCATCATCCCCACAAGACAATTAGTTGTTGTTTGGCAAGGATCTTTTAAGAACGTCACTGAGACAGAAAGGGAACAGCCTGGATAGCCTCGGACTTTTAAAAGCATGAGATGGAAAATACACAACGCTATTAAAACTTGAAAAAATCTGGAATGACCATTAAAAGGAACGAAGTTGGGAAGTAATTTATGACAAGAACACTCGAACCCTTTGTTATCTTTCCTTAAGTATCACACGCTTCCCGTATACCGTATATGAGAGGGTGCGTTAACAAAAAAGAAAGAAAAATTAAGTGCAGTAAAATTAACTCATTTTATCAATTTGTGCTTTCTGCAACAGTTTCCTGACAGCAGCTACAAGAGGCTGTAAAACTGATGAATTTGCATGGAAAAAGAAACCAGTGTAAGTAATTTGTGTAAAAGGTAACACGGACATGGACTGCTATAATTCAGACACCCTGCAGATAGCAGACTGCTGCAGTGTGAGCAGTTATGGGTTAGAAAAATGACCACACTGCAGTCAGTCTGACTTGAATGGAAATCAATCATAAAGGTACTCTCTGCAGCATCTACTCCACAGTTTTCAGCAACTTCCTTGCCAAACAGATTTCTGCTCTGCAAACACTTCGCTGCTCGGTTCCTCTGCACCCTCTGCCTACCAAAGCCCAAATTCCAGGTTAAGCAGACTTTATTTTCCAAATGGAAGAAGGGAAGCACCAAATCAAGGCACTGTCCTTTTTTTTTTTTTTTTTCAAAGGCACAGTGACATTCCTAACCACTGCAAGACTTCAGGCAGCTGTATTCCAAATAGATACAGAGGTAAAAATGCCATCTGCATAATGCTTCTGTGCTTCTTCTCACCTCCCTCTGTTATCCCTCTCTCCCCAAATCCTGGACATCTCTGCTCAACCTCTTGCTCTAAAGGGAAGAGACATGTACCTCCAGAAGAGCTGCGGGGTAGAACCAGAGTGTTGCTAACGCACAAAGTAGCAAATATGAGGAAGGATGCTTTCTTTATCAAGGGCTGAATGCTGCCTCATGCAAGAGCCTGCGTGCAACGTGAGGGTTACAAAACAAACCCCACCTCTGTCCCACAGCAGCAGAGCTCCTCTGCAGAGGTTTTAGTGCTGGAGGGCTGAGGGCTGAAAGCTGTGACCTCTGTGTCTCGGCTTCAGCCCTGAAGCTGGGCAGCACCTCAGTCCTCCCGCACTGGACTTCAGCAGCATGGCTGCTCTGTTCACTGCTGCATTGCCACTCAAAACATGCTGCCTTCCGTCCTAACAAGCAGTACAGCAGCCTCCTGATAGCTCAGGAACATCTCCCAAACAGGAAAAGATGTCAGAAGTCTCAGTCGCGAGTCCAAACAATGCTCTCCACCTCCGTGCCTGACCCAGGGCCACGGCCTGGCGGGGCTGCAGGAGGAAGGACCCCTTTTCCCTTTGCACCGCAGACGTGTGCAGAGCTGGGAGCCTGCCGGCCCCACAGGAAGGCCCTGTGTCAGGGCAGGCCCGGCTCGCCCCATAGGGCGGCGTGTGGGGGCTCCGCAGTGGCCGATCCCAGTCCCAGGCCGCCGTTCCCCCCTGCTGCCAGCTCTTCCCTCGCTGCCAGCTTGTTAGCTCAGATCTTCGCCCGAAACGTCAAGAAAAATAACAGAGAAATTAACAAAAAGCTCTCTGACTTAACTCAATTGGGATATTTATTTTGAAAAATTTATTAAATTAGAGAACAGGAAACCCACTAAATAAAACCAGCCAGGCTGGCATTTGTCTTCCTTGGAACATGGCACTCTCTTTTAGTCATGTTAATATTTAGCTTCTCTTTTTTCCATCTTTACGTATTTATTTTTATGAGGGGCTGGGATATGACTAAGATCATTACACGTGTAACACTGCAGCGAGGTGATAATGTGTTTAAGGTTAAATGGGAGAAACATGACATTTGACTAATAAACTTTTTCCTGTGTTGTGACTCCATAAACAAAGGGAAACACAGTGCTGCTGATGCAGAGAGGAAAGGGGATCTGTTTTCCCTTTTTTTTGTGCAAGGCATTGTCTCCTACACACCGTGCCATTAGATACAAAGAGGCTGCGCTGAATACAACAGATATGAAATGTGTGATGTTCATTTTAAAATTACAAGTACAGCCCGCTATTGACCATCTAATTATGCTGAGTTCCATTTATAAACATAGCTAACCACTAAGTTTATAGAGACTTTTTGTGCTGCTTTAATAGGATATTGATCGAGAGCAAGGTTTGAGTGGACTGCCATTGAATTGTGTAATGGCATACAAAAGGCAAGGTCACGGCAACTGTTCGCTCTATGCCTGCAGTCTATTTTTTATTATAATCTTTTTTTCTTCCTCTCATAGCCAAGCCCAAATAGAATATTTGGGATAGCAGCGCTTTGCTAAGGAATACAGAATATCTTTTTTAAATGTTAATTTTCGTGTTGCTGACTTCTTTAACAACCTTCACTAGTGCAACGCTTAGCATAGCAGAAAGCATTCAGGCTGCAGTTGGAAGAGAGCTGCTTTACGATGCTGTGGCTTTCCCTCACGCGCTCAGCACTGAGATCTCTGCACAGGAAAGTTTCTCCCCTCCCAGGCTGTGGGAAGGCAGCAGTGTCCTCACAGCCCTTCGCAGCCTTGCCTGGCCCAGACCCCGCACCTCGTGGTGGGGCTGGCAGAACATTCCCCACAATTTGTTTTGGCTGTGCCTGGCCTCTCGACGAGAGGTGGGAGGAAGTCGTGTTTCCTCCGCTGCACCCACGCTCAGTGCTGGGAGTGGCAGCAATTACTTTCACTTCTCGCATGCGTGTGCCCGTGTGGCAGTGAGACCAACTTCAGCCCCCGCCAGCAGCACCCAGCCAGGGAGCTCTCTGCCTCCTGCTGCCTGCCAGGGCCTGGCTCAGCGCTCCGCGAATGCTCGGCTCTGCTGCAGCAGCCGCTAACCACAGCAAGGCTGCCTCGAGCCTGGCACTCGCTGCTGGAGGGTCCCCGGATCCTCAAAATGCCCCGGCCACAGAATCACCTCTTACCTGCGGAATTAGCATAACCTCCAAGGATAATTAGCAGAACCATTTCTGTGTTTATACAGAAGTGGTAAGCAACTTGCATGTACGATTGTGTGCTTGTGGTTTCCCTGGCTCATGACAGGGAGTAGGAGTCACCCCACTTGCTCTGTGCAGCTCCTCACTGCTCGCAGCTAACGCCTTAAAACTCAAAGCGTGGCATTTTCAGTCCAGGGTGCAGTTAGAATTCCCTTGTTTATCAGCATGAGGAATGATGTCATTTTGACAAATAACACAGCACAAAACAAATATGTTTCATTTGGCTCTAGCGAATGTTCATAAATCCTAAATCTTTCTTCACATCCTGGGCAGCACAGTTTATCTGGCTGCCTGAAGGACCTCCAAGGGAGGAGATCTTCCCAGCAGCTCTCTGCACAAGAGCACATAGTGCAGACTCAGTCTAACCGGGTCTAACCCTGCCCCGGCCCCCCAGCCTCTGCCAAGCATGGGCTCCCACCCAACGGGACCATAAGCCAATAGCAGCAACCAAGTTCCCAGTCGGCACCTCTCACAGAGGGCCTTCCCATGCAGGTATTTTCCTATCTAGGGCACACAGGGTTTGCTTGGTCGACAACAGGCTGAGTCCACACAGATGAACATCTTCAACTCTTCTGTTTCTGAGAATGTTGGTGTCAGCCTCTCTAGAGATGGGAGAACGAATTTCTCCATTATATGAAGTGTATCTGGGGTGGACTGACAACATCTCCAAAGCTGCTCACACCTTCTGTCTGCTAATAATGTAAGAGAGCTGACAGCGTGGTCTGCAACATCCACAGCAGATCGGATGGAGAGAGAACAAGCTGCTTTTCAGATGAACATGAATGATCTACTTTCTCTGTTCTATCGGGCTCTGCAAGATTCAGTAGCTGGGTATCATGTCGAAAGAAAATCTCCAGCTCCAGGACTGAAGAAAGCAGGCTTCTGTTACCAAAGCAGTCTAGACTGGTTCAATAGCTCACAGAAAGTGTGACGATCAGCACTGATGGATAAGATAGACAATGGTAACAGCTGACCTTTCACTTGATTAATTAATTCCCCAGATTTGCATGACTGAGACAACTGCCTACTACTTGAGACTCCATGCCATGCTCAACTCTGAGAACTCACTAAATAAACCTGGTGCATAAATTGCTGCCAATAATATTTCCCAAGAGAAACTTTAGATAGCAGCAGCAAGCCACAGGCCAGTTAAAACCATGAGAAATCACGTTTCTATCATTTTATTATCGAAAGCAAGCATGGAAAGAATAATGTCAGGCACGCACCTCTGGAAAGCAAAGAAGGAGCAGACAAGAAGACAGCAGAGGCTAAACATGAGGGCTGCTATGGACAGGCAGGTTTGTTGCTTCCCTAGCCAAGATGGTTTTAAAGATGCAAGGACTTCTTCAAAGTAAAAGCCAGGGGAATGGACTGAGGACGTTCCGATTTCTCAGACTACAGGTTTAATAGCTGCCGGTGGGTCTGGATAATGGCTGCTCATAAGCTGAGCTCCCCAGCATGACTCATGAACTGGTCTCAAATGAAGACATGGGAATACATAAACCACCCAGCAAGAGTTATATTGAAAAGCACACTCTTTAAAAGCCCTTACATGCCAATTTAGGCAAATATGCAGCAATTACTTTGTTGCTCCACTATGTTAAATTATTCTTTGAATATCAGCATGCAAATTCATACTGACTTCGCTGGGAATTTGTTGCTAGACTCTACAACTAAACATATCCTACTGGGTAGCCATGGTATGTCAGTCTGTGGACTTCTCAGACCTCACAGAGTAAACAAGGCTGGTCAGTACATGTCTGGGGCATCTCCAAGGAAAATCCAGGGTGCTATCAAAAGCACTGCAGCTAAATCAGTTGCTGGCATTCTTCCCTCTGAGTCAGTTCTGAAGTGCTATCCCGATATGCTTTAGGGACACTATTTTTGGTAGAGGTGCTGGCTTGTGGACAGGGTATAAGACAGAGGCCTTGACCTCCTAGGATTATTGAAGAGCCCACGAAAAAGAGTGCAAACCCCCATTCCTGGGGCAGACAAGAGCTCAGCTTTTCATTTTGACTATCATCATCCCTTTTTATTTTAGAGGAAGCTCGTGCCTGTCCTGCTCTTTCTGTGTGCAGTTGCTCAGTGTGTTGGAGGTGGTACATTTCAATGGAAAGCAGAGGGAATGTCTCAGACACAGTTCATACTTTGTTTGCAAAAGATGTTGAATGCTAGGATTTTTGATGCATGATGTTTTAGTTTAGTTACAATAAAATATCTTGGAAAACTAATAAGCAGGAAACATGACTCTCGTGAGGTCAGTGCCAAACTCGCTGGGGGGCTGGGATGGCTGTAAGTCCTGAAGCAGTGCACTTCTCTAGCAGCCCTGTCCTCTGCACACATGAAGCACGGCTGACAGAGTCCAGAGGCAGTTCTGTTGTGTAGTGCCCCTGCGGTGAAGATAAGATTGTGGTGAAGTGGGATGCCTTGCAGGGGGGGAGGGAGAATCCTTTGGGCTTCAAAAGCCTTGTGTTGTCACACTGGAGTAATGTGACATGACAGGAAGGCATTCAAAGACTGGAGAGAACATGGCTTTGTCCACCATGGCTGCAGGTACCAACAAGGTAGTGCATATAGTGCAGCAAGTTAGATGTCAAAGCCCCTGTTTGAGCACTTCAGCAAGTGAACTATTTACAAACTTCTGAGTCCTCCCGACTTTGTCCTTCCAACAAAACTCCCACCAGTTCTCAGGGAAGGGAACTCAGAAGAAATAACTGCTTCACATTTTACTCGCTCTCTCTCTCCTGTCCATATACCTCTCACACCCACATATCTCCCACTGTTCATGCTTTTCTTGCAGCTTCCTATTTCTGACTACAAAGCCAGTTTACAAGGGAGTGCAAGCCTTTCCAAAAGAGGAAATAAAACAGGAAAATCCTTACAGAAACTCAGTGTTCTGAGTCAAAACCACAGCTTCTTTGCTGGGGTTGTGCCAGTTAGTTTTCAGCGTTCAGAGCTATATATTCAACTATTCCTGCTATCTAGGAGAATCATTTTTATCACTGGCTGTACTGAATGGATTGGTTACAAACCTAAGGTAAGAAAGGGACATGCAGTTGAGTGGCTTTCCTAGAGCAGTGGCAATTGTGGGAATGTAAACTCCAGCATGGCTGCAGAGATCCCCAGAGGACGGGTACCCACAGCCCTGCTTTAGCTGCAGTCTCCCTGCAAGAGGTTGTCCATGTTCTCTCCTTGGACTATCTGGATTATGTCATAGCAAAATACAATCAATGCGCCTTTGATCAATGGAACAAGGTGGTGACAGGTACTCTTAATTCACTGTTGTTAGTGGGTATCGACAAGCCTGTAATGATCATGCTGCAGTGTGTCATTCATGCTGGGGGCATTAGCATTCTTTAAAGGTCAAAAAACAAACCCTTCTACAAGGCAGAATTCCATACAGTTAAGGGAAAAGGCGGGCCTTGGGAACTTAAAGAACTATGCCCCCAAGCAACTGAAATCCCAGATCTTCAGATGGTACAGTTGTTGGCATTACTTACAAGTTCATTAATTCCCAGGTGTACAGGACACATGGAATTGATGAACACAACGCGGAGAGGTGGCATGAAAAATTCCTGGCTGAAGCACGCTAACGATCAGGTTTGGTGAAAGCAGAATCTTTGGATCCCCTAGGAGGCCCACCAGCAAGCTGACCTCTGCAGCCATATCTCTGCACTCTTACACAGAGGCCGCCCATTTTCATCTGAGTACCAGATAAGCTTATCAACTCACACATGCAAGTTTGCAGCACTTTTTTTTTTTCAATTTACTTCTTAGTCTGTAAGCTTTTATTTTCCCACATTAAAAGATATAGCACATAAACAGCGTCCCCCAGAGAGAAGCAGGGAGAAGGGACTCCCAGTTTTTGACACTGTTTCTGAACTGGGGAAGGGACACATGATAAAGAACCAGAGAAGAAAACTGGGATTGCAGAAACCACACAACACAGCCACCAGATGATACTTACTTTGTGAGACTCTTACTAGCTCGGTCACACTGAAAACACCTGATGTGACAAAACTGTCCTGGAAGCCCAAATGTCCTACAAAACAAACAGAGTGAGAGAACTGCGATTAGCTTTAAGCATTTAATGACAGTATTCTCAAATACTTTGCTTGCATTTACACTTAAAATGTGACATCTAATTTCCCACTTAGCAGTAATTATTGTTTATGTAGGTGGGTAACTAGTCATACAGCTACGTAGGCTGCTTTGTGGTTTCTATCTAGAGGTTAGGAAAGCTAACATGACACATCAGCAGGGAGATTTTTACATGCTAAAGCATCTCAACAGGAAATCTGAAACAAAAGAGGACTATTTTAATAAACGGTTACCTCAGATGACCCCTAATGACTTCACAATAGAATTGAAAATACTGTACCTAGGAAACAGACAGGACAGCTAAGTTCCATAATCGTTTTAAACATTATTCTCTAAAGAAACATCTGATCAGGATTATCTACCCATTCATTCAAACAAAACAAGATTTAAAGATGTACTCTTCATTTTCTGAGGTTACACTGGGGAAATCTTAAAAAAGAGGCTGGTGAAAAAAAATTAAACGAGTGCCTTCCCATCAAGAAAACCCAACATTTAAAACAAGCTTTCATTAAAAAAAAAAGAAAAAAAAAGAAAAAAAAAAGAGGAAAACAAATCTCTGCCTAGGAAAAGCATTAAGCTGAAACTTGAGACTGCCTTCAGGAACCGGGGTGCACCCATCCACACTCGCCCCCCCTGTGCAAGGAATGCCTCTCCACTCGGTATCAAAATGTTATTACACTTTGCATAACACTATTTTCCTTCTTCTCTGAAAACATGTCTACCACCAAATGTTCATTTAATTTTCACGGCTATGATCAATGACAAAAGGAGCAGCTTCCAGGCTGCTGCCCAGGGTAGGCGTGTGAGTGGGCTGCGGTGGCTCACGTGGGGCGTCGCTGGACCTCGATGAGAGGCTGTGGCAGGGCCAGGCTGACCTCCTGCTTTTGAAATCAGGGTCAGAGGAGAAATCACAGGATAAAGAGATTATTAAAAGGACTGTAAAGTCCTGCTTGCCCGCGGGATAAGTGGCATACCTTTTAAGGTTGTCCTACTTAGAGTCACTGATTCCACAACAAGCACACATATATTATTGAATGTTTTGCAGGGGCACCATCTGCTCCATTGTTAATTGTTTGTCAGATGCAGCAGGATTTCCCTACGTTCAGTACATCGCGCCGTGCAGCGATACCTGCCCACCTCCTCAGACCGACCCGAGCCGTGGCACTAATGCTAGTTTGCTCTTTGCTTTTCTTTTGGGGTTGTTTCCAAAGAAGCACATCTCACTGCCATTTCCTCTTGCAGAACGTGAAGCACGAGGAAGGCACTTTGCATGTGGGACTGCAGAGGGTGATGGGCTGGGGTCAGGAAAAGGCTCAGGAAGGCCCTGGGGAGGTCAGCAGCTCTCCCAGCCCCCAGTTAATCTGCACCCTGGCAGACAGACCCTGCCCTGCTTCCGAGTGGCTCCTCGGTGCCAGCTGAACGCAGTTGCTAAGCTAACAGACTTAAGACAAGTTTCTGCATCAGGCGCATTTTTATACTTCAGCAATAATGATGAGTTCTCAGACTGTGTATATGTATATCTCTGGGCATCCTTGTGTATGTGTATATACATATGTATTATGTACACAAACATATAAATATACACAAATCTGTCATGCTCCAGCTGTAGATAAATGTACTATAAAATATTGAAATTGATGCCGAAATTCAACACAAACAAATTCCTCAATCTGCAAACAAGGTTTTTATTTACAGCAAGAGAATAAATTTTTTCTCTACTTCAAATGAGAAAACGCTCCTACAAGTTTTTATTTTTCCTTATTTTCCACTTAGAAAGAGCTCTCGGATAATTGTAAATGCCTTTGCCTCATCTGCTTTGTATTTTGCTGCAATAAAGGTGATGACTACATCATTCTGCTTTTTAGAGACGGTTGCTGGCCCTACACAATGTTTGCTCATTGACAATTTCCCGAGTATTTTTAATATGAAGACCTACTTTTCATATGCTGCAGCAGACCTGCCTATTGAATTAAATGATCTGTGAATTAAAAATAATTCTCTTAGGTCTTCACTGAAACCACTCATGTGCCTAAAATTAAGCATATGCTTAAGTGCCTTGCTGGATGGGGGCCAGGACGCTTACTACTCCGCAGAGCCCTTCGCAGGGAAGCCAGTCTATGCTATGTAACTTCTCACACTGTGCTCATCATGACGGTATCTGAGCAACTTCCAGAAGTGCATTCAGCAGTACTACGAACATCTGTCACGTGTTGTTTTTCTCACCATGTACCATACTGGCCCTGCTCCGGTGTCCACTTTCAGCTGCATCTCCCAGGCAGGTTCCTAGCACACGACGAGTGAAGGTGAGATTTAAATAGGTAGAAATAAATCCCAGCTACGCTAAGTCCGTTGGCTTATTTTTAAAGGGAAAGCCCAGAGCCCTTTGTAATCGTGCAGTGAAAACTGTGGCATGGCTACCCCCCCCCACCTGAATTTAGCATGCCCAGGCAAAACCAGACGTGAAAATGCAGCAGAACGGCTTTCAATACACTCCACCTCTCAGGGCCCCCCTGTGTATGAGAAAAATTGATTAAGTTAGCTTGGACCTGGTAACTCCTATTATTCATAACATCTGATTTTGCTGAGTGTACCAAAAATGTCTGCTTATTTCTGTAGGAACATTTCTTATGTGCGCTCACGCAATAGCAATCATTAAACAACAGCAGCTAACTAGAGTGGTTAGATTTTCATCCGTCAGTGCTGAAAATAAACATTTCACAAATGAAAGGTGAATTTCACAATTCTGCCACTTGTTGTTTACTTATAAACATTAGGAAATCAGGGACTTGTTTTGCCAATCATTTATAATGCCTTGGTACCCACAGAAGCGATGCCCTTGGCTAAGAGCTGTGTCTTGAACTCATTCTGATGGATGGTTGCTCTCTGAATTTGCAGTTCGGTAGAACTCCATGAAAGTTTAAAGATTTGCCTGTATGGCTCAGATTGCAAAATCCAGGCCTGAGACTGCAGGTTTTGCTGAGCAGAGATAACAGTGCAAGAAGAGAACGAGAGAATCGTGATAAAGAAGCTAGACAAGTCAAAGAAGAACGGCTGGGTGCTAGCAGGATTGACAAAATATGGAAAGAAAACATTCTGCGCCTATTAACAAAGGTCAAAATGCAAATGCATATCAATTTGCTTGTGCTACTTCACTCTGAGTGAAAAAAATACAGGTAAAGTCAAGCAATTACATATGCAGATGTGAGCACTAAAGAGCTCCTTTACTGAAAAGATGATTAAACATCTTGAAAGCTTGCAAGATTTACTTCTCATACAGCGCTTTACTGGAAAGTGTGCACGGTGATACTTTACTAAATATCCCAAAGATAGGATGTGGAAATTGCTGCATGTGATCTGGTTATCTCTACAGTTTTGTGTGGCAGTCACGTTTTGGTAGGAGAGCAGGTGTTCAAAATGAGGCTGAGAGAATTTTTACTCACGTTATAACAAACTACCAGAGCCCATTCACTGAAATTCTGGGTATAAATTAAGACACCTGGGTAGCCGAGGCAGCCCTGACTCAGCAAAGCAGCTGCAGCATGCGCTTCATTTTATTCCCGTGTTTGACTAAAGCACGAGCTTATCCAGGCTGACAAAGAAAGATGGGCTGACAAAGCCAGGCGGGTACTTTAGGATATTGTTGAATCTTTGCTTTCAACTCTAGTCTTGTCCCGCAGGAGTTACGTCATCACACAAGACCTCACTTTGGCTCCTGAGGATGGGTTTTTTCTTTTGCCCAAGAAAAAGCCGGGGCAAAAAAATCCAGTCTCCCAGGACCAAGCTGAGTCAAGCAGATCGGGATACCGGCTAACAGGCACACGGCACTACCCAAGAACACATTTGATATAGTGTACAAATACCATACAACACAGTCGTAGCAAGTAAAACATGAAAGCCATCTTTATACAGCTTGATGACTGCTTTAATTGGGAAGAAAATTCATAATGCGATTTACATATTCTTTTAGATCCCAGTAAAAGAGCCAGAAGAAAAGGCTTGAATTGCTGGAGCCTAATTCTGATCTCAAAGAAATTTTAAACAAGTCCTTCTACACTGATCAAATGAAGTTTCACCTAATTTTCTCCTAATTTACTCTGGCAGAGGAGACATCAGGATTAGGACTTGTTGTCTAATGCTATTTGTTTTGAATTATTAAGCAAACATTCCTATTTCAATGAGTAAACGTGTACAAAGGCAACTAACCTTCGTCCTAAAATCTAGTTCACAGGGAGAGTATTGTCTGCCTTCCCAATTAATGCTGCAAAAAGGAGTCTCAGACGTTGATCGACCAATCAAGAGCTTGTGTTATAGCTTGAGAAAATCATGACTGATGCAATTACTTTTATGTAGAAGGTCTGAATATGGTCTACAGGTTAAAGTTCGCTGCGTTATTGTTTCTTAATTGAATATCAGTAGATGTTTTCAAGGTGCTCAAGGTATTATTGTTATTTAATCAGCAGGTCTCTTTGTGTAATCCCACAATATTATTTTCATTACAAAACAGTCAGATCGCACCATAAATATGCAAGGTATTTTCTAAAGAGAGATACAGCTGGTTTCCAGAAACCCGAAATTAAAGAATAATGGGGAAGGGCTAAGCCTTGGAAAATGAAAAAGTCCAAATCCCGTCACTCCTCTTCCTCTACAGTCCAAAGAACAACGCAGGAAGCTTTGGAGAACGGCTTTTTGGGAAACCAATTCATTGTCAGTAGTTCGAAATTACACAACAAGTTCCCAAACCAGCAGCAAAACAATTTCTAAAGCCTTTTTACGTTTGGCATCTCAAGATACGAAGCCATCTTAAAACCTTAAAATAGTAATAATCAATTAGAGACTCAAGCCTATTATCTTAACCAAATGCCTGATTAAAAGAAAAGCCCTCTCTGCTCAAAGTGCAACTCGATTCCTTTTGGTTTTATCCTCTATCTAGATAATCCCATG